GTACACTCAGAGACCAAAAGGGGGACAGAGGTGAAATTAGTTCTGTAACTATGACGGCTGCTAATCTGATATTGCTGTAGAGACTAGGGGCTTGATTCTCACTTGCACACCATGTTTTGGCAGCAGACTGGGGCTTTAAAAATGGTAAGATGCAAATTGTGAATTCCACTTACCTTAAGATCTCTTTAAAATTCACATCAATGCAAAGTGGTCCTTGCGAAAATGAGACTTGAGTACCTTATTTTCATTTCTGATTTTTGCACTTCAATTTGTGAATTTGGCATTAAACTTATATAGGCCGGGCTTTTTGTTTTGGTGCTGTCCATAGTACTATAGTGCAAATTCCCTGGGGCCAACACTTGACATTTTTATTTCTAAGTGACTGGTATGCCTTTATTGCGATACAATATTAGTATTTGTCTTATTTTTCCTCTCCTCACTAAAGATGTTAAATATCAAGTAGTTTACTAATTGAGTAGTCGATAGAATTTCCAACCCGAATAGTTGATAGGCACTTCCACTTTCTTCCTTTGAAATGTACAGGATCCCCGGCTGGGGCTCTTGTACATTTCAAAGGACGAATGTGGAACTCCGCATGCAGTCCGGGGCCAGCAGGAAGTCCCACTGACTCTGGGCTGTACACGGGTGCCAGCTTTGAAATGAACAAGAGTCCCCAGTGGTGGCTCTTGTGTATTTCAAAGTGGAAGCACCCTCATGGAGCCTGGGGTCCCCTGCTGACCCTGGGCTCCATGCTGCGCTGCCGCTTTGAAATTCCATGCAGAGCCCGGGTCAGCTGGGGAATCCAGCACAGCATTTCCCCAGAACCCGGGATCAGCTGGGGACTCCCCAATTGATCCGGGCTCCACGCAAATGCTGTGGTGGTGTTTCAAAGGGGCAGCGCCACACAACTGATGGAGTAAGGATGTTAAGGACTAGTCGACTATCCGATAAGCAAATGCTTATTGGATAGTTGAGTTGACTAGTTAATTTCCCCCCCCCCCCACCTCCTTACTGCCTCTCTCATATAGAGGCAGCAAGGGGGTGGTGGGGAATCAACTAGTCCTTGACATCCTAACTCCTCACAACAGGTTCTGGTTCTTCTCCATTACAGTTGGTTTTCATACAGATGGAAGAGAGAGATGCTAAATCACCAGTACTACATCTTACAGCATCTTGAATTCAACTTGGAGGTTTTCCATGCAAGTATTGTCTTAGCCTGGCTCTACTGAGTTTGTAAGCCATGATAAAAATCACAGCCCAGTCTGGTACATCTGCAATTCACTTATGATATGATACAACTACACAGCAACATTATTTCAAAATAATTTAGTCTGTGTATATACAGCAGGAAGTTATTTTGAAATAATGTCAAAATACTGTCAAGCTGGAGGACTTCTTACTCTTACTCCAGCAACCCTCATTGTATGAGGAGTAAGGAAAGTTGGAGGAAGAGTGCTTTATTTCAAAATAAGTGCTGTGTAGATGCTCCCAAATTCAAAATAAGCTATACAATTGATATAACGCAAAATAAGCTACGCAAGTTGAGCTAAGCCCTACTGTGTTGATGCACCTTTAGAGGGTATGTCTGGCCAGCAGCTAGCAATGAAAAAAAACAAAAAATATAAGTAAATCTAAATGTTAGATCCTGAAGTATATGTATTTCAGTTTTAGATTTGCTTCCTTATCATCAGCCTTCCAAATCAAATAATTCTTAGGGCAATAGTGCCATCCAGGGGCCAAATAATTATTGGCATGTAACCAAAATAATTGTCTAGAACTGATAATATGTTTAAACAATAATTTCTGTAGTCATTGTATTTGGAATTATTTCTTCAAGTCTACTTACATATAATCCTATATACTCTAAGCAGTGCAACAGATTGAAGTGTAGAAATCTCAAACAATAAAACTGATTTTCAGCTGTGGCAGTGAAACCTGTAATGTGCTGGAATAATATAGGAAATATATAAAGTGGCTTAAGATTGCATTTTAAAATCATATGGCAATTCATATGACAATAGATCGGAAGTAAAGGAAAAGCCATCTTTCAACTAAACCTTGATAAATAGTTTAAACCTCAATCTTGAAAATTAGGGTTGCCAACTAGCTAATCACAAACTCATACACCCTTGCCCCAGCATACCCACTCCATCCCCCCTTCTCCCACTGCTCATTCTCCCCCACCCTCACTCACTTTCACTAGGCTGAGGCAGGGGGTTGGGGTGAGGGAGGGGTACAAGCTCTGGTCTGGGACCAAGGAATGTGGGGTATCAGAAATGGGCTCCAGGCTGAGTTGAGGTGCATGAGGGGGTATGGGCTCTGGGTGGATAAAAGAGGGGGCTCTGGGCTAGAGAAGAGGGTTGGTGTGACAGAGGGGCTGAAGGCCCCATCTCGGTGGCATTTACCTTGGGTGACTCTCATTCAGTGATACAGCCAGGTTAAGGAAGGCTCCCTGCCTGCCTTGGCCCTTTGTCACTTCTAGACATGACTGGCATGTCCAGCTCATAGGCAGAGAGGCAAGGGGTCTCCACATGCTGTTCTTACCTGTAGGCATCGCTACACGTCCTGGCCAATGAGAGCTACAGAGCCAGACTGAGGGCAGAGGAGATGTGCAAAGATCACTCCCCCTCCCCCACCAGGGACCTTCTGGAAAGAGGGCAGGGCCAGGACAGGCAGGGACCCTGCCTTAGCCCTGCTGTACCACAGACTTAAAAGCAGCCTAAAAATCTCCCAGTTTGGCTTCAGTAGCCTCTGGAAGATGGAGCCCAATTCTAGGAGACTCCCAGGGAAACCAGGAGGGTTGGCAACCCCACAGTACACATGGGCTGCTTGAATAGCTTCAATGAAGTTAGTCTAGAGTGCATAACATTAAACATGTATGTAAATCTTTACAAATTTGAAGTCATAAGTGGCTTAATTACTGCACATCCCATATTTTGCTTTCCAATACAAGTAGATCTTGAATTAGGTTGTCTAGAGGAAGTTATATTTGTTTTGCAGTGTTAGCATAAACAATTGTCAAGAACCTTGCCGCTCTGCACATTATGTACTTATTATTTTTTTATTATTGCTGTTAGCCTCACAATGGCAGCAACTGCCATCAAACTGTGGATGTAATCCACCTAGTGGGAAAGACTTAATAGGATTCCCATCTGCAGCCTAGATTTCTATTAATGACTGAATTTATTGAGAACATTGTTTCACTACCTGCATATATCATCCATATCATACCTGTACATATTTATTTTGAGGCATTACTGGTTAAAAAAAAGAAAAAAAAAAGACTTAAGTATCAGCTTGCCTGTAAGTTTGTGAGTAATCTCATTGAAATACTGGCCCCTTTTCCGGAAGGGGCATGTAAATTTCACTCGTCGTCGTAGGGAAATCCGCGGGGGATTTAAATATCCCCCGCGGCATTTAAATAAAAATGTCCGCCGCTTTTTTCCGGCTTTTAAAAAAGCCGGAAAAGAGCGTCTAGACTGGCCCCGATCCTCCGGAAAAAGTGCCCTTTTCCGGAGGCTCTTATTCCTACTTTGAAGTAGGAATAAGAGCCTCCGGAAAAGGGCGCTTTTTCCGGAGGATCGGGGCCAGTCTAGACGCTCTTTTCCGGCTTTTTTAAAAGCCGGAAAAAAGCGGCGGACATTTTTATTTAAATGCCGCGGGGGATATTTAAATCCCCCGCGGATTTCCCTACGACGACTCGTGAAATTTACATGCCCCTTCCGGAAGAGGGGCCAGTGTAGACGTAGCCTGAAACTTTTTCTCTGCACTCCCTCATAACTTTCTCCTCTTAAGCTGAAACTTTCCATGTTTGATCTTTGCACATTTTTTAAAAATATGCATTCAGCTCATTTCATGAACGGCAAATATGTCTGTTACTAAAAACAGATTTCTTGTGTAGTTTAAATTAGCTGTATTTTCAGTTGTGCCCACTGCTACTTTGCAGTGAGGAAGTCTCTTTACATATAAATTTAAACCAAAAGTAATTCTTCCTTTATTCAAATTCCTTTCCACACGGTACCACATTTCTTTCCGATTTCGAGGTAAGTACTATCAAAAATACTGTAGCATAGCTAACAGCGGAATATTGCAATTCCGTATCTGGTTTAAAAAAAAAAAAAAACCCCTCAGGCCCCGTGGAGCATGATGAAACTCAGACACAGTAGAGCAGTGGGCGGCTCTGAGATGCAATTGTCGTTTGCAATTGTTGTCATTTGTGAAAACTCGTTAGACATGGGACCTAGGATATAAAGTGTGGCTTGTACAGAACTGCGCGCTGTGCTATCAGTAGCAGCTTGGGGCGAGGTGCTATGTGCGCGCACACACACCCCTTCCCGCCCCCAACACACACACACACACCGGTGTCTGGGTGCAGGATCTGGGTGTGCGCGCTTAGGGGCTCCTCAGCGGCTCTGCGCTGGGTCACAGGGCTCCGTTATTCAGCCAACAACGTAGAAAAAGTCCTGGCACAGCCACAAGCTGAAGTCACTGAACAACAAAAGGGAAAGTTCTCCCCCCCCCCCCCGCAGCGCTTTGCACCGCGACCATCTCGCCCCGGGCGCAGCGTCCCGAACAACTTCGCCCGGCTCAGGAGTACCTGGATCCATTGAGTCCGCCCACACCAGCGAGTAGCCGTAGCCTAGAGTGTCCCTCACCATTGAGACGCTGCCTAGAGCGTCTCCGCAACGCCCAGAGCTGCGCACGCGCGTAGTTTCGCTTGGCGCTTGTCTTGGGAACCAGCGTGCGGGTTGCGGAGCTGCGCTTTTTTACGCCGGGGCCGCGTGGGCGCAGCGGGGTCGGGGGCCGGGGGCCGGGGCCCGGGGCC